TCCCAGGTGTCAGAACTCTTTAGAGCATTCTCAGGAACAGTCACTTTAAATCGTGATTAGTGCATCCAACCCTATGTCGATCAAAACTTAGGACTTGGTTTAAAATAAAGTCTTACCTGTTGCCCCACTGAGTAACCGTGTGCATGTGGGAAACCGAGGAAGGGGAGTGTCTTTCTCTCCTTGCTCCTAACAGTTTCTGATCCTTCTAGGCTGGGATGGTAGAAGGCAGGAGAAGTGGGGAGAGCTGGGGATGTTCTTACTGGAATAGCATGTGTAAGCTGGCGTCCTGCTTTGTGGACCTGGTAAATGTTTAAAGCAGACACATTTCCCAGAGGAGGTTACAGATTTCTGGGAGACTGCACCCTAAGTGGGTGATGTCTGCTCAGGAGTCCCCTTGGTTTGGGCAAATGCACTCTACTTGAGCAGCCTCCTCAGCCTGTTGGGAACTAGCTACTCCCCTCCGCCCCCCCCCTCTTCTAAAGCCTGCCTGCACTGAAGGGGTCCTTGTGCCATCCCCTCACATTTGGCCCACATCTGGCCCATGAGGAAACACACACACACACACACACACACACACACGCACGCACACATTCTGCCCCTGGGCAAACTGGGAATAATAAGATCTGCCCTCGGCCTGCCATGGAGGTTGCTAGCTAGCCCAGCTCTCGCATGATTTCCCGTAAGTGTTAGACCACTGTGTTCTTCCTACTCTAGGATATATATTTGACCTTCCAATGAGTTCCACGTATGTCTCTCTCTCTCCCATCAAATAAGGCAACTTCCAACCTTTCTCTTTGGTGGGAACTAAGGGAGAGCATACCTTTTCTTAAAAGAAAAAAAAATCCTCCAAACAAAAAAAAAAGTCTCCAACAATCCCATGTGATTTAGTGTTTGTTGGAATGTAGCACCTATTGTCTCTTGGTGCCTTAACTGATACTTTAGTTTGAACATCCTAAATGTATATTAGGTATATCTTGGGATTTTTGTTTATGAGAAATTCTAACATCAGAAATTTGTTATCTGGGGGGACCAGCAGTTAGCGTAATGACTATGTCGCTGGACTCCCACGTAATCAACAGTGGTTTGAGTCCCGGACCCGGTGGCTTAAACTCACACCGGGCACGTGTGCATATGTGCCCAAGATCCCGAGAGAAGAATGGAGAAGAAGGGATTGCAGTGTGGCCATCCCCCCTGGGGGGTGATTTCTCGCTTTCTATCTCTCTGTCTCTCTCTGTCTGTCTGGAGAGCGCACGCGCCCTATAACAAAAACCTCTCCAAAAAGAGAGAAAAAAAAGAAAGAAAGAAATTTGTTATCTGGGGACCAGCAGTTGGCATAATGGTTATGTCGCTGGACTCCTGTGTTGTCGACCATGGTTTGAGTCCCAGACCCAGTGTCTTAAACTCACGCCGGGTGCATGTGCATGCATGCCCAAGATCCCAAGAGGAGAATGGAGGAGAAGGGATTGTGGCGTGGCCATCCCCCCGGGATTTCTTGCTTTCTGTCTCTCTGTTTCTGTCTTTCTGGCAAGTGCACACACCCTATAGCAAAACAAACAAACAAACAAACAAAAAACCCAAAAACAAAAACAAAAAAACCTCTCCAGAAAAATAGAAATTTGTTGTCTGGATGAATGCTATTTCACCTTTCATCTCTGCACCTTCTATACACTATAGCCATGTGATTATACTCAGGAAAGAAATGCTTCAGTAGAATGAACCTCCAGGCTCTCTGTTTAGCCCAGCTTTTTGAAGGAAACAAATACATTCTTGTCCCCGTAGCTGAGTAGACACTAAGAGAAAGTCTTATAATTTCCCAAGTGGTGGCCCAGGAGAAGGATCAGCAACCTTGGGACCTAACGGCTACATAATTATTGCCCTGCCTGGAGAAGAGAGGGGAAAAAAACACACAGGATACCCAGACCCATGAGTGGGAGATCTTGTCCATGGCACCCCCTGATACCGAGGGGGATGAATATCCTGCAGAACCAGCAGAGGGGACTACTGAGCTCCACATTCTTTTCTTTTCTTTTTCTGAGAGAGAGAGAGAGAGAGAGAGAGAGAGAGAGAGAGAGATTTTTGCTATAGGGTGCTTGCTGAAGAGACAGAGACAGAGAGACAGAAAGCAAAAAAAATCATCCCCCCCCCAGGGGGGATAGCCACACCACATTCCTTCTCCATTTTCCTCCCAGGATTTTGGGCATGCACACACGTGCACCTGGTATGAGTTTTTTTTTGGGGGGGGCGGGGGGAGAGGTTTTCGCTATAGGGCACGTGCGCTCGCCAGACAGACAGAGAGAGACAGAGAGACAGAAAGCAAGAAATCACCCTCCAGGGGGGATGGTCACGCCGCAATCCCTTCTCCTCCATTCTCCTCTCAGGATCTTGGGCACGCATGCACACGCACCCGGCGTGAGTTTTAAGCCACCAGGTCCGGGACGCAAACCACAGTCAACTACGTGGGAGTCCAGTGACAAAGCCATTTCGGTAATTGCTGGTTCCCGAACCTGGTATGAGTTTTAAGCTGCTGGATCTGGGACTCAAACAATGGTTGGCTACATAGGAGTCCAGCAATGTAACTGCTTCGCCATCTGCTGGTCCCAAGTTCTGCATTCTTAAGGACTGGAAGAAGGGCTGTGACAGACTGGAGTGGGAAGGCCAAATAACCCTGTGGGGATTAGGATCTGGGTGGGGGGTGGGCTGACTGGGTGAAGGCAGCAAGCAAGGGAAGCGACAGTCACTAGGGGAAAAGCACAGTAGCTAAGACCCTTAAACACCTTGCTAGTTTCATCTCCTTCATGAGCTACATAGAACTACCTGCCATTTTCTCACTTTGTCATGTCCTTCCACATCGTCATTTTATACAGACTGCTCCCTCAGGATGGAGTACCCTCCTCATTTCCCGCCCCGCTCCCTCACTTCGATTCTGCCATCAAGGCCTGGCTCAGGTCTAAGCCTCAGGAAGCTCTCCTGCCACCTTGCCCATTTGGCTGCTGTACCGTTTCCCACACGTTCCAGTTCCCGCAGTTACTGCACTTGCCTCTTCCTGCTCTCCACGGGTCAATGAGTGTCTCAAAGACAAGGACTGTGCTTTATCCATTTTTATCCTCCTACCATCTACCACTGTACTTCAGTGTTGTAAGGACTGCATTACTTTTCTATGACTCTGTAACGAATTACCATACATTTAAAACAAAACATTTATTATCAGAAGTCTAGGCATGGTGTGGCTGGATTCTCTAATCAGAGCCTCAATGAGCTGAAATTAAGATGCTGGCCATGGCTCCAGTTGTCATCTGAAGCTCTTTGTCCTCTTCTGAGCTTACTAATTATTGGTGGAATTCATCTCCTTGAAGCGGTTAAGACTGATGTCCCCATTTTCCTGCCAGCTGTTGGCCAAGAACTACTGTCAGTTTCTAAGGCTACCCAAAGTTTCTTACGTGTGGCCCCACTCGGCAATTCACAACATGGATGTCGGTTTCCTTATAGACTTGCTGGGGCACATGACTCTGATTTCCTCTCTGTAGTCAGACAGAGAGAATATCTTCTTTTAAAGGCCTCACCTAATAAAATCAGGCCCACTAGGATGATCTCCCATTTGCCCCATAATGTAACATGATCCCAGCTGTGATTTCTTTTTAATCGCCAGAGGGCATGTGTGTTTGCCAGAGGGAAACAGAGAGAAAGCAAGAGGGAGAGAGAAAGAAAGAGAGCGAGAACACCCTTAACTGGATGTGGTCCTGCTGCATCCTCTTCTCTCCATTTCTCCATCCTGTTGGGATTTGGGCCATGTATACATATGCCCATAGTGTGTTTTTCAAGCCGCCAGAACCGAGATTTGAACTGCAGTTAGCCATGTGGAATCCACTTCCCTTAACCTCTAGGCTACAGGGCTGGACCCATAAATGTGATATTTCTACTCATACCCAAAGGAGATGGAATTATATAAGGGTGAGGGTTTCCATGAATTTTGCCTATCATAAAGCTCAGGGAATATTTGTAGTATCAAATAAGTTATATTCCAGAAATTTGTAAATTATAAATACCGCTATTCAATTTTAAGATTTTTTTTTCTTATTGTGACTTTGGAGGGCTAAGATGCTTGCGAATTTGTATGGGATCTAGAATGGATGCAGATGCTGTATGTCAGATAATACAATGAGGCTCCTACAGTAAGTCCCAGGAATACTAGAATTTGGGGCTGGGGTAGGGGCAAGATCTGGCCTTGCCATTTGACTGTATGACCTTGGAGTAAGTCCTTGCATTTTAGAATCTTCTTCCTGTATAAACTGGGGGTGGGGGGTGGGGTGCGGCAGGACTAGGCAGCCTCTTCAGAAAGCTAGCACTAATATTCTATCATTTCTAAGATTAAATCATACTGATCAAATTAAAATCTAGTGCTCATAATATCCAAATTCATTCAAGTAGTTCATAAAAGAATTTCATTATAAATGGAATTAGAAGTGATATGAATTTAAGAGGAAAGGGCAGTTTTGTTTTTAAGTGAATCCATTCCTATCTGGGCCGAACCTGACTAAATACAAATAAGAGTACATAACTACATTTTTAATACTTTCTATAGGATGGTGAAGAATATTTTGTCTTTAAATGGCATACCTGTCCAGTTATGACTAAAAGTAAATTTTCCCCATGGTATTAAAACCTGATAAAACCACTGTCTTAAACAAGTTGAATGAACTCAATTGATGATAATTGAATAACTATCAAAGGCAGCACTCCGAGTATTAGGAATCAATTCACTTGACTACGTGTAAAGCATGTTGATATTCTTACACACATTTTGAGGGGTTTAAGTCTTTCTTTTGTCTTTCTCAAATGAAGCCTCTTTAGTTAGGATAATTATTCTCTTCTACCTAACAAAAATGAACTCTCATTTTAAACAGGTATTATTAAATCCCACTGAAATCTGTTTTATGCAGCTGTATTTGTTAAAACATCCCTTTATTGACTATGCAGTTATTAACAATTCACATTTCACTTTATCAACTGAGTGGAAGAGCATTTATTCCTTTATTAAAAAGTTAAGCCCTCCAGGGCAGCAGCAGGAATGCAGAGCTTTCTTCCTAGAACGGCACTGTCCAGTGAATGTGAAGTGCTTCCATATTCATACAAATGGGAAAAATAAATAAGACAAATGCACTTTTCCCTCCTTCCATCATCGCCTCTCTGCCTCTTATCTTATGAAATGCCAATAGGTGAACAGTTCCCAAACTGGTACTTTCATCAGTCAGAAGAGGAATGTCAACATTTATTTGGCACCACTGAGTTCAGAACATCCTTAGGACTCTGTGAAAGTGACAAAAGTAGTATGAGGCCATGGCCATTTCCCCAGGAAGTTGCCTTATGGACAGAGAGAGTCAGGAAGGCATCAGTTAGTCTCCAGCACTTTGCTGCTCAAGTTTCAGGAGCTGTTTTTCAAGTTTGGAGGTGTTTACTCGATGCATCATCAGAAACTGGCCATTTAAATGAAAGACGGGAATATCAAATTTATACCTTTCATACCACGCAGAGTTTTCTGGAAGTGTGATGTCCACCTCCTGTAAAATAAACTGAAACAAATGCAGGCTAAAGCTCTGTATTTTAGAGCCCATGGAACAGCACAACAACTGCAGAGATAAAACTGATCCTCAGACTGTTAATAATGCTGATATTTTCATAATGCATTTTGTTGTTATTGTCTGTTTTAGGTTCATAATGATCTAATGGCCCTGATTTCCAAAACTTGACTAGTTTCATTGTATTCTCTATCTCCTGATCTTGCTGCTTTTCTATTACACCTGTTACATTCAGCACCAGGGAATTTAGCTCTAGTGAAGTAAAACATGTCCCAGCTAAGCAGCTGCCTGCAAATCAGGACAGAAGTATTTGATTGGGAAAAGTGTCATGGTTTGCTACAGGGAGAGACTTCCATGAAAATTACAAAATAAAGTAAAAGGAATGAGGAGAGAAGTTTAAAGAACCCACAGATATTCTACCTGCTAGTTAACTCTGACTCATATTAAGAAAGGAAGACAACAAGGACTGCTCAGAGAAAAACACTTAGGGGTAATGAGTTTTATGGAAATCAGCACTAAACTCTCTCTGAAGAACAGAAAGAAAATTCAAATGAAAAATCATTTAATCTCTTTTCCTAAAGAAGGCATCTAGGCAGATATTTTATACCACATATAATATCCATCCATATACACGAAAGCCACACTGTGATTATATTACCCTGTGTTTATAAGGCTTGAGTACTTCCTTGGCTTCATCACAAAGGGGGCATGGATCCTACAGGAAGAAAGAAAAATAAAGCCATTAAACCCAAAGAATGGTATTTGACCTAACAAAAAACCCACAAGAAGTAGTTTATACTTCATTTTAAGGACAGTTTTCTACCAGGTTAATTACACTGCTTATTTCCAGAGCAAAATACTACCACAGAACCTTATAAATAGCTAGTGTTTCATGGTAGATGGGCTCTCTGTATTTTTTTTTTTTTGGTTGTATTTTCTTTTCCCTCCATAAATATGTGTGTGTGTGTGTGTGTGTATAATATAGATGCTTACTATTTTTCCTGATCTATCTAGGGCTTTGTTCATCCCGCCAGGAGCAACTTAACGGCCTCATACAGTCAGTTTGGCTGATGCTACTGGAGTGGTTTAAAGTCTGTCCTAACTGGGAGACGCTGAGCCTTGACAGCCTATTTTTCCTAATCAGTCCACAGAAATAATCCATTAGGATAAAGGCTGTTACTGCCCCTCTAAAAAAAACAGCTATTCAGAGGGCCAGCAGATGATGTGGTGGTTAAGGCACCGGATTCCCACATAACTTGCTGCAGTTTGAGTGTTGGACCCTGTAGCTTGAAAATCATGCTAGCACATGTGTGTGTATGTGTGTGCCGGAAATTCAGAGAAGAGAATGGAAAAGAAGGAAATGTGTGAAGAAACAGTGTGGCTATCACTTCTGGGGGGTGATTTCTCACTTTTCCTCTCTCTGTCTCCCTCTGGTGAGCACATGCACCCTATAGCAAAAAATCTAAACAAACAAACAAACCTATTTACTTTGGAAAACTGTACCAATTCAAAATATGTCACCTGTTTTCATATTACAAATGTTAGTAACAGGTTTCCCCAACTAAGGATCCATCAGAAGAGCAAGTAAATTTTAGTGTCTGTTGTTTACACTCTTAAAACATCTACTGGAGAAGTCTGTCGGTAATGTTATGGACTGTTGGCAGATTTCAGAGGCTTTTCAGCACTTGACTCTATGAACAGGGACCAGCTATTGGTTCTCCTTCATGAGCTCAAAACAGACTTAACATTACAGATGCTTCTATAAAACCAGCTTTTTAACATGATAGGAAGAGATGAATGGTTATATAAAAGGTCTTTCCTCCCCCTCAACTCACAGCTTGTTTTGAAATAAAAGACCGTGATCCTCTCTCTGTCTCCCTCTGGTGAGCACATGCACCCTATAGCAAAAAATCTAAACAAACAAACAAACCTATTTACTTTGGAAAACTGTACCAATTCAAAATATGTCACCTGTTTTCATATTACAAATGTTAGTAACAGGTTTCCCCAACTAAGGATCCATCAGAAGAGCAAGTAAATTTTAGTGTCTGTTGTTTACACTCTTAAAACATCTACTGGAGAAGTCTGTCGGTAATGTTATGGACTGTTGGCAGATTTCAGAGGCTTTTCAGCACTTGACTCTATGAACAGGGACCAGCTATTGGTTCTCCTTCATGAGCTCAAAACAGACTTAACATTACAGATGCTTCTATAAAACCAGCTTTTTAACATGATAGGAAGAGATGAATGGTTATATAAAAGGTCTTTCCTCCCCCTCAACTCACAGCTTGTTTTGAAATAAAAGACCGTGATCATCAAAGGGCCTTTTTGGTCCTAAGTTCCTGGGGCAGAGAATTAGACTTATCATGTTATTATTGGCATTAATAATAAACAAATTATGGATAGTTTGTGATATTTTAAGATAATTGTGCTAAAATTTCCTGAGAAAAAAGTCAATATAGGATCTTTTTTTTTTTTTTTTTGGAGAGATTTTCACTATAGGGCGCGTGTGCTCGCCAGACAGAGACATAGAGACAGAAAGCGAGAAATCACCCTCCAGGGGGGATGGTCACGCCGCAATCCCCTCTAGGGTGTGATTTCTCGCTTTCTGTCTCTCTGTCTCTTTGGTGAGCGCACGTGCTCTGTAGCATAAACCTCTCAAAACAAAACAAAACCTCTGAAGAAAAAAAAAAGCTAAACAAGAACATGTTAAATTGCAGAAGTACCGAATGTACCAAAATGTTCCTTTTATATTAAAAACTTGAAATAGGCTAGATCAACTTTTTCACCTTTTTTTAATTTTTATTTTTTAGTGTTTTATTTTTTTGGGGGGGGGCGTTATAGGGTGTGTACTCACTGGAGAGACAGAGAAAGAGAGAGACAGAGAGACCAGATGTGAGAAATCACCCCTTGGGGGGGATGGTCACCCCACAATCTCTTCTCCACACTCCTCTCAGGATTTTAGGCATGCATGCACAAGTGCCCAGTGTGAGTTTCAAGCTGCCAGGTCCAGGACTTGAACTGTGGTTGACCACGTGGGAGTCCAGCACCTTCACCACTGTGCCACCCGCTGGCCTCTTTCACCTTATTATTTTTTAAAGAATTATTTAATTTAATTTTATTTATTTGTTCATTTACTTTTAATTTGACCAGAGAGAGGCAGAGAGAGAGAGAAAGTGAAAGCAAGCCACCAGGTCTGGGAGTGTTCAGCGCCCTAACTACCACGCTACCTGCTGGTCCCCCACCTTATTTTTTTAAAAAACTGGGATCCATTAAGTCTATATACAAATTATACATGTAAATATGTGCATGTATTTTTATGAGGAAGTTTTCAAATTTTAAAAAGTATAAGAAACCCAAAAAGGATAAGACCCAGTGGTCTAGACCATTCGAACTTCCTTTTCTAGAATTTTGCATGGGATTGTTACCTACTCTATCCCTGAGTTGAAAGAGACATTTCTTGGGTTGGCTGTCCACCAACCACTCCCATTTCACGTAGCAAGATTGCCACAAGGTTACCTCAGAGGAACTACTCTCAGCAAGTAGCTGACTGCATCCCTAAGAAAAGGGAGGAACACCTAACTTAGGCTTGTAATCAGCACATCCCATCCCTCTTGGCTATGACTGGCTCAATGATAGGCCAATTGCAACCTTGGATAGCTATAAGACTTTTGGTGGAGTTTCTATAGAGGTCTGAGATATGAGATTTAGGGTTTAGGATAGCTGCAGTCATGAGAAGAGCAAGAGTGAGGGCAGATTTAACCCAGAGGATCTAAACTGAAGAGACTGGTAACGTGCATAGTTCCTAAGTTGAGGTATTCCTAAAACTACACCAGCCCATAAAATCTCTTTTTGGTTTAAGTCACTGTGGGAAGTCTGTCTTTTTCTTTTCTTTTGTTTGTTTGTTTGTTTGTTTAATTTGCTAGAAGGTATGTGTACTTGTTGGAGAGAAAGAGAGAGTAAGAGAGCCAGAAAGCACTCCCCTTTTGTTTATTCTTTAATTTGCTAGAGAAAGGGTAAGAAAGCACTCCCTATGGGAGACTGACACATCCCTTCTCCTCCACTTCTCCTTTCGGGATTTTGGGTATGCATGCACATGTACCTGGTGTACTGTCTGGTGTGGGACTTGACCTGTGCCATTGGCCCTGTGGATCCAGCCACCTTAACCACCACACCACTGGCTGGCCCCAATCTTGGAAGTACTTTCTATTACTTATAGCTGACAGAAGCCTGATATTGTACTTGAAGTGTTTCCTTCACTGGACAGTGAACTCCTGAAGGTGACTGTGATCTTATTAAGCATCTAATGGATGGATCGAGACTTCAGTTTAAATATTATGCTGAATGGAAGGTTGGTGTGGTTTTTGTTTTGTTTTATAGATTTTTTTGGCTCTGCTGCCCAAATTGACAAATGGTTCAGAACAGTTAGGCAGAGTGAGCACCACCAGCTTTAGGTATTATTTTATTTCTGTGATTTATTCTCACATGCATTTCCCAGCGTAGGCTCTCAGATGATGAAATATTTTTGGTCCCATAATTTCCAACAGTAGAACATATAGTTACAAATATGAAAAAATGGTTTAGATGAAATATTCTCAATAAAAATTCATTTTAAAAAACTACATAAACGTTATTATTTGATAACTGTCAGATATTCTCAAATTGCTAAAATGCATAAAATCTGAAAAATCTAAAAAAAAGAGACTTTTTCTTTGAATTGTGGTATTACTCATAAAGTTACCATTACCCTGTACTTTATTTTTTGTCATAAGTCACACAAAGCAATGTTATCTAGCACAATGCTGAAATGCTGTCTGCTGTTCCTAAGCCCCAGTAGGCTGTGATGTGCCTTATGGAGGTACGTGTTAGATACACATTTTAGATAAGCTTCTTTCAAGCATGAGCTACGTGCTGCTGGCTGTGAGTTCATTGTTAATGAATCAACGATGTATATTAAATAAGGTGTCTTTAAAGAGAAATGCACATAAAGCAAGGTTATATGTTTGACTGGCTGATGAAAATATTATGACTAGTGTCTCACAGGAACCTAACCCTGTATTTCCTCTAGAAATATGGTTAGGTATTTGCTAATTCAGTGTTCATAGAGATTTTACAGAACATAATAACCACAAATAACAAGAAGTGACTGTATTTTCTTAAAAGAAAAGTAAACTAATTTAATTAAGGGGAGTTTTAAGTGAGCAAATTCAATATGATTTGAATCAGGGAGTTTGTAGATCAACTTTTAAGCAACTGTGGCTGGCTTTGTGGCCACATAGTATTTAAATTTTGTGTATAGGAACAGGCACATGAGATACAAAAAACGAAAGTGAAGGGATGAGGTAGGGAAACGATTTGGGTTGGTTATATTTTGAAGTTTGTCTGTTTTAACACAGTTTAAAAGGCAGGATGTCTGTGACTGACTAAAGCTTAGCTGCTGTGATTGGCTATCACCTACCAACCAGCATAGGAAAACAGCCTAACATGTACAATTTTGGCTTATTCATAAAAATCCAAGTGTGAGAGTGCAGTGGCCATTTTAGGCCAAAATAATTTAACAATTTCAACATGATAAATGTTAAAATCACATTATAATCTTTTTTTTTTTTTTTTTTTTTCAGAGTAGAGGTCAGAAGACACTTACATCTTTTAATTTACCCTCTGGTAGTTGTGAGACAATGAAGTGTCTGGGTAGGAAATAGAGTTATTGCTGGTGTACTAACAGAAAAACTGAGGAATAGGTCTTAAGAAAGTTTACTCCCTTGTCTTTCCTTTCAAATTTGTCCCCTTTTCTTAAATATACAACTTTATTCACCCAGCAATTTTAATAACTTTATATTTTTAAGATAGTAATTTTACTTTTTCATTCTGTACCTTTGTGAATAAAGTCAGCACAGGCAGAACTGTTTTAGAGGCAGAAAGATTTCTCAAGAAGACTCCAAAGGAGGATTTGGCAAGTTGCATGCTATTTCCTTGAAACCAGAGCATTGTAATTCTACCAAAGGAAAAATAAACCAGTAAATTGATGCATCGTAGACTTTGCTCTTTACAAATAGTAAGTTGCAAGCTTATGATGGAATTCAAAGACTTCAGATTTGTTTGTTGGTCTACAGGAGTGTCTAAGAGGCCCAGATGTTTGGAAAGTTTCCATGATGCCTCAACATTCACTGTATTCCCAACAAAACAGAATTCAGAATGAAAAAAAAAGAAAAACAACATATATATGAATTAGTTGTGTGTTTAATCACTTGGTATCTGTGAGTAAATGATATGAATTTATTAACTTGAATAGAAAATTAGATTCTACCTGCAGATTTGCTAACATCTCATTGATCCCCTAAAATATGGAGCTGTCTTGAAATCATCTTAATTCGCAGCTATAGCTTATCGTACTGGCAAGCATTCAACATGCAGCCATTGCTACAGTAAAGAAAACAATAAGTAAGCACCATAGTTACCAGCTTATCTGGTGCAGGTTATATCTTTTGAGGTCTTTGCCCCTACACTGCAAGAGATACACAAACACACAGTTGTAGTTGGAGGAACAATAGGGAGAATCAGACTGACTTAACTAGTCAGAAAAAAAATATATACTCAACTTTTAAGTATTTTAAAAGGAGATTGACATAACTTTTGAAAACCTTATACATAAATATACTAGTGTTTCTACTGGAGAGATTCCAATGAGAACAGCTTGGTAGTAGCAGCATGTCAAATACTAGGCTTTGATGCTCCTCCATCCTCCTACTTTGCTTGACATAAGACTGTTGACTTGATCATTTATCTATATTCCCAAGATGAACTCATTCCTGGGGATCGCTGTTTCCTAACTTTGCTTTACTCTGTTTCCTTGACCTCATCGATCACTTCCCCTTTCCTTATCTTGCCAACATGGAGCTATAAAGGTTCTCTTTCTATTCCTTAAATACTAAAAGATTATTTGTTCATTAGAATGTGTGCAGGTGCTTTCCTTCTGTATGAAAAGCTTGTAAGTAGTTTCTTATGTCTTGGGCCTCATGTCACCTCCTAGGAGAGGCCTTAATGACGAACTACTTTACCGATGTTGGACAGCCCATCACTCTCCATCTTCATACCTTGCTATAGTTTTATTTTCCTCTTTACTCTCTAATATTATTTATGTTCCCTCTATTACAATGTAAGTTCTACAAGAGCAGAGATTTTTTTATTTTATACCTGTATCTCCATTTACCCCAATTAACTTGATACATGATCGGTGCTCAAATATTTGTTTGAATGTTAGAAGTACTGGAGTGAGCCTTTCTTACCCTCTTTAATCTCATGTCTAACCCTGATCAGATACTCAGTGTACACGGCAGTCACTATTTGGGTCTATCTCATATCGTAACTAAAGGTTAGTCCTCCTCAGCATGTCCACAAGATTTTAGGCTGAAATGGTGCAGCTGGTATCAAACCCTTTCACCACCCTCTGTTCTGCTGCACAGAACATGACTATATTAATTACATGCTAATTTTCACCAGGTGAACAGACTTCTCAGTATAAGATTAACTTTAAACTAATTTCAAACAGACTGATATGACTTTAGGGAAAACCACAAAGCCATATCGAACTAGCATGAAGACTACAGGACAAAAAGACCAGATACTGATCCATAAAACCAATCATCTTCCCTTCACTCTTAAGCCGTTTCTCTTCCACTTCTAGCCTGATTTCCCTGCTAACTAAACAATATAGATAATGTATAAAAAAGGAATGTGATGAGAATTTTGCAAGGCTCTGCTACTCAGAGTTACTCCAAGGTAGAAAGTATATCTAAGCAATTTCACAATATCCTGTGCTACTCTCTACTGAGCGTTAAGCCCTGGTACACACATTTTCTATAAATTCAGCAGAATCAACAACTCCAATAGGTGAATGTTGTTGTAGACACAGCTTCTGAACACAGCTTTGTCTATACAGGATATAAACAAGGGGCAGGAATGTTAGCCAGCTTTGTGCTAGAGAGAAATTTCTGCATCCTTGGATTTGGGAAGGCTCTATACAATGTATACCTTCCTAGGATGTGGAATTAAATGAATTTTACTATATACAGAAGAAGAAGAAAATTTGCAAGTTAGCTGTATTGCAGGGAGAAATACAGCCTTGTAAATGAGAGGGTTCAGGCCATCTACGGCTGAGACCTAAGACTACAACCAAGACAGTGGACTGCAGCTATATGCATTTGGTGGAGGGATTTAAGATTTATTGATGTCTGGCTTGAAGGAAAAGGAAAACTTATTGCTTTTACCTCACTGAGTTGAGATGGAGGTGTTAAGGCTTTAAAAAAATTCACATTCACAATGGAAATCTGCTTCAGTATTTCCAACATGACAAAACACAGCATGTGGTCTTGGTTATACCCAAGACAAATAAAACCTGTCATAGTAAACAGAGTTGCTATTCATTCCAGATTTGCTGGAATATTTGTTCAACCAACCCAGAGAGCTAAGTAAAGTCTTCAGTGATGGTAGCATTCTGTTTACAACTAGTTCTCTTTTCCACTGTTACTCTCATTTCTACTTTTTACATGTTTTTAATCACTTACACATGGCACATTTGTTTACTGAGAAACACATCAGTATTATGCAGTTTTACTACCTGCATGTTTTTTTAAATGCCCTAAGGAACATGCATTTTTCCATATTGATAAATTAACTTATTTCTTTGGAAGCATTGTATTATAAAATTACATTTAGGTCTGATCATTTTTAAAAAAAGCTCGGGAACCAGCAGTTAGCGTAATGGCTATGTCGCTGGACTCCCACGTAGTCGACCGCGGTTCATGTTCCGGACCTGGTGGCTTAAAACTCACGCCGGGCGCGTGTGTGTGCGTGCCCAAGATCCCGAGAGGAGAATGGAGAAGGGATTGCGGTGTGACCATCCCCCCTGGGGGGTGATTTCTCGCTTTCTGTCTCTATGTCTCTCTCTGTCTGTCTGGCGAGCGCATGCGCCCTATAGCGAAAACCTCTCCAAAAAAAAAAAAAGCTCCTTGTGCCTCTCCTAGGCATACATTAAGGCAAAAATATCTTAATTCCTGGAGTCCCTTTAAGCTAGAATAGAAAAAATAAAATGAAAATGTTACCCTATAATATTCTTCTTAGAACATTTTACTAACTCTGTAAGCCCTAACACCATTGCTGTCAATGTCACATTCACCAAATCAAGCCTTCTTGAAGTAAAATCTTAATACAGGCTACTCTGTCAATGTGACATTTTCATTAGTTCGATTATTTTTGAACAGTATCTCAGCACTATAAAAAAAATCCTGAAAGGCAGTCTGTTAGCTCCGCCTGTAAGCTCATGACTGAGAGGACAACAGTTTTTTTATTATGTCCCTGAATTTAGTCATGAAATATGTGTCCTTATTACACACAGACACAATTTTATCCTTTGTATTTTGTTATGTGCCTCTCTGTGATATGAGCACAAAGAGCTGTGTTCATAATATCAAAGAAACACAACTGGGTCACCTTTGTCACAGACCCCCCCCCAAAAAAAAAACAAACAAAAAAGCAAAAGGCATACAACTAGATTTAGAATGTGCTTAACACAAACTGCAGAGTCTAACAATAATGATGGTGACTCCTGCTGTTTCAAGTCAGTGCCACTCAGAGGCACAGATCACCCTGAAAGAGAGGGAATGCTGGTCTTCCAACAAAACTAAGGCTGACTCCAGTGGTCTTTATGGCAGAATACAACAAGGGGGGAGGACTGATTGGACCACTTCAGTCCTCTTGAAGCAAGATAAGGAAGATAACTTAACTTTATAGCATTTTCCCTGCAATGCACTGAAGAGCATAGCATTAAAGCAACTGATTACGGTACAGAAAGAAGCCAGGGTCGTTGGAGCCTTTATTAAGGATTATTCATTTCTTGCATGAGGAGCTGCCCAGGTTATGACTGCACATCACTTATGTGGAGCTAGTACCTGGATTCTTCACCGTGTGTGTCTGATTAAAGGGAAACAACATTGTTCTCGCTTGAGTAGAGAAACTGACCTTCACTGACCAGAATTTTTATTCATACAAAGAGTCCTCTGGCACAGAAAATCTCCAAGCTCACATGATCCCTCATCAGAGAGGGGCACTGCTAGTTCATGTGCAAAATCAAAAAGTCCGTATCAGCCCAGGTACCGCCTTGGTTATTAACAGATAATGTTGGAGCGTCTTCACCAGAGTATAATGTAAATGTAATGCTGAGCTGACATTAACCAAACACTATTACCGTAGCTCACTGAACCTGTGCTCCACAAAGACAGGCTCAGAGTTTCCGGTTAGTCATTTGTGCCATGTGAGATGTTAAGTGCTCCATCTTACACTCATTACCAACTAAGTGTAACATTTCTATTTTTACCCAAATGACTAGAAACACACACACACACACACACACACACACACACACACACCTCTTTTGGAACATAATCCATTATTTTAGATTGCCTAAAGTTTGTGTAAAAAGGTGAGTTTACTCTTAGGGGCCTCATTTGGGTCACTGAACTCTACCTAATCTAAGGAAACAGGAATAAATGATGGTTCCCCAGTGCTTCACCGGTCAGTCAGCTCTGTCTGAACTTCTCTCCCTCTCTCAAAGTGGGAACCTAGCCTAGGATCTTGGGTGCAAGAGCAAGAGAGAGATGGTCTTTGTGGAGCCAATAACAGGAAAGGCACTGTATAGAGGCAAAACCAGATTGAGAATTAATCAAATTCTTTACTACATCAATCCCAAGGGGCTAAGCAGAAGTAGAATGAGACTACAACAGAAACAGGGAGTTAGGGTTAGAAGACCCTATCTGCAGTGGGGCCCTAACTCACTGGCATGGGTGGGATCCTGGGTGCTTTTCTAGCACCTCAGCCCTAGCAGTCAGGGCACCTGGTGAGGGGAACTGCTGAGGAGGTGGAGCCAATGTAGGCAAGATGTTGCAACAGAGATCCTGAGCTAACCACCTGCCTGTGGGCTCAGCTGTTCATGGCTTCCTG